GCCTTATACTAACTTGATTTGGGACTCAAACTTTCTTTTGACCAGTGTCTGTCATCCTGATTTATATCTCTAGAGCAGGAGACTGTCAAGAATTCAGTGGGTTTTCAGGGACACCTAAAAATTTTTTTAAAAAAAAGTCTATCCTATATTTATTTGAACTACTTTTGTAAGTTTGTAGGGAGTGGTGTATAGGCTTGTTTTATGGGGGGCTGGGGGTATTTGAAGGAGTGTTGAGGAATAGGAAATGGCAACCTCCTGAGTAGGTTTGTGTAAATATTGGAATTTATCTTGCCTCAGCTGTGTTGTTATTGGGAGATTATACATTGCTAAACATGTGATCCTCATTTATATGCCTTTCAGTTAGAACAAGCTGAGTTCCACAGAAACCATGTTACAATTCAGCTCATATTTACAAAGCAATCCTATGTTCTTTGCAGTGGTCCTTTCTCAACACATGTGGGATAGTCTTTCATTGTACTACTCTATCTTAAAGTATAATTTGATTTTTGCCTTTCTTACATAATAATCACAGTATATTATTATAGAAATGGTCATCTTTTCTGCTTTTATTTTACTTAAATGTTAATAAATTGATCTCTTTAAAATGATCATTTGTAGATTTTCTACAAATTTGAAATTATGCAAAACATTTCTTAAATTTATATCAACTGTGAAATGGTGTATATTATTTATTTGTGAGTCCATGTTTTCCTTTCAAAGCCACTTACCTGTTATTCCGATATATTAGTGATTTATTTTTTTTAATCATAGTTTTTGGAGTCATAAAACCATGGTTCAAGTTCTATTCCATCCTTAGAAGAATTGTAATTTTAACGAAGTTATCTACTATAATTACTCTAAGGCTTTTATTCTCATCTGTAAAATGGAGATTTTAAAAATATGTCCTTCACATGGATGTTGAGAAGATCAAAAATGTAATTTTGGTGAAAGACTTATAAACTCTAAAGTACCTATTATTTGTACATATATATCAATGTTATGTGCATATGATATAGTATTTTGTATATCTAAATAAAAATCCTATTTTGAAAGACAAACATGGAGGCACACATAGAAAATAAATATATCTATATGTATGTGTGTATATGTGTATATATATGTACGATGGTACTTCAAAAAGTTTATGGAAAGGTTTGTATTATTTTTTAATTCTCTTTTTCCACAAACTTTTCTAAGTACCTTAGCATATGTATTAGCAATGAGGGTTTGCCAAATAACTTAGTCTCAAGAAACGTACAACTCTCAATCCTCAACTAGGAGGGGTTTTAAGAGATTGAAATAGATTCCCCAACCTTGTCTTTTTCCCCCTCATATTTAAAGATATGACAACAAGTTAACTAGAGAATATTCTTTTTCCAGTCAACTTTGTGAAAATGTATTGACAGCTCTGTAATAATTCTTACAACACATTCCTCTGAAGTAAACTTACTAATATCAGTTAACTGTTAAGAAGGAATTAAAAAAAAAAATCATAGCCTCATAAATCCATGTCAAAAACAAAACCCTTCTTGTTTCTTTTGAGCTTAAAGGTGGATTCTTTCATGCAACTCTCTGTGGATACGTTGGTATTAATGCTGTAAACCACTGTTCCCTGGATGTGGTCATGATTTAAGTAGCTAGTTAGTGTTATATTAATTCACAACAGTATGTTGATTTTTTCTCAGTTGTCAGTATAGACTTAAAAAAAAAAAAGTACCTGCTCCTTTAACCAAATATTATTTTATCAGATAGTAATTTTTGTTTCACTTTTGATTTTATGTAAAATATAAATTAAACCATTAGTTATGAAGATAAATACTTTTACAGAATGTTTAGAAGACAGATTTTGATGTAGATTTATCTTTGAGGAAATTTTTTTTTTCTTCTGGAAAGCTCAAGAAGAAACAATTTGAGATTTTGTAGTGGAACCTTATGGAATCAGTGGTGCATTGAGCACATACCTCCCCTTGTATTCCTTTATCAGATTAACAATATCAAACGAAACAAACCAACAAATAATAAAAAACCCTAAAAACTAAGAAAACTTACAGTCCTGCATTTCCTCTAAATCTCATCAAATTGTGCTAACTCCTTTAAATGCAATTCAGCAAATGGTTAATTCCAGAAGGGAACTTAGCTGTTTTAGCAGTTTTCCATTAGAATTAGGATTTCTTTTTTTTTTTTTTTAATTGCTTTCAAAATGTAGTAAAAGTTTTAGAAAATGTTAAAATCAGTATGTTCTTGCAATGTGCATATTAATTTGCTTCCTTTGTTTTCACGGTGTGCTTCTGTCTAAATGAGACCTGACAGATCATCCATCTATGTGCTGTTCTCGAAGCTTGTGTTAAACTTGGGGACTTAAGAGGATACTTCAACAAATTCATAGAACAATTTGTATTATCTTTTAATTCATTTTTCTATGAACTTTTTGAAGTACCCTCATATATTTAACACATACTGTATTTTTATAAAAAAATACAGTATCAGAGTTTTTTTGAAATGTATTTAGGAAGTGACCCCTTTTTATGCATTCCATTATGACATATCTTTTTAATTTTTTTCTCTGCCAAGGTTCAACTAAGACTGAGGACCAAGTTATCTAAAGATAACAAGGTCATTTAATTATTTAAAATTCTCCTCTACTCCTTCCTCTTCCACATTGAACTGTAATAGAGAGCTGTTCTCTGAAGTGGCTGGGAATGTTTACTTTGGCCACATAAGGACGAGGATAGAGGAATACCAAAATCTGCTGAAGCAGAAACTAACAACATTCTGATACAGCTTTATTGTCATTTCCAGTAAGAATATGTGAAAGCCTCTGACTGAAATTACAAGGCTTAATTTTTTTCTGTTTTACAAGTCTCCCCAGCCCCTACTTTTCCCTATACTAGTTCCTAATTAGTTTCATAAGTAGAATTTTATGTTTAGTGGCTATAATTTTTGTTATTGGCAAATATTAAAGTCCTCTGTTAACTCTGTCTAATCATGATCAAATTCTTTCAGATTTGAGTAATTTCACTTAATTTGAGTTTTTCACCATTTTGGTTGTGTACCCAGAATCCTTCGTGTATGCATGGACCATGTCAGTAAATGCTCATCCCATCTTCTCAAGCTGTTAAGTTGAAAAAGCTGTTTTGTCCATTTTTAAAGTATGATAAATTGGGCCCCGACTCTCCCTGGTGTAATGAGTTCATACTCTCATTAAGTTAACCTGCATTTTTATTTTTCGCATCCCTCTACCTCCACTCAGACCAGCCAAGGTCAAGGAGGGCCAGGGAATTGGGTTCTGGATTCTCAAGGTCTTGTAGACTCCAAAGTGATGGAAGGACTGTGAAGCAGAGGAAGGAGAAACCAAAATATCCACTGGAGAACTTGGAAGAACTAGAAGAGCATTGTTTATCAAAGAGATCCCTGTCATCCTCTAGCTGGAGCAAAGTGAGGGATGATCCCCAAATTAACAGTGAGCAGCAAGAAAGGAAACGGTCTGGTCAGCAGAGGCTCCAGAGATCTCCGCTACCCAAGATCAGTGGAGAAGTATTTCTGAGCACTGAAGTTGATGACTGGGAGGCTAGCGGTAGCTATCGAACTCAGAATTTGGAAAAACAGTCCCGACACCAAGACCAACTTTCACCCAAGACTGCACAGAAAGCAAGGCTTCACTGCAAGGAAGCTGTGTATGGGAGGGACCGTGGGCAAGGTGAGCACAGAGAAAAGAGACACAGGCCAAGGACTCCTCCCTTCTCAGAGTGTGAGGAGCAGCTCCACCTCCATGACACAGGTAATGAAGGACAGCCCTGGATGTTCTGGTATCATGTATATTCATACAAACCAGTGTATTTAATAAGCATCTTAAGCAACCTTATTTCCTCTTCACTTTGCTCATGGCTTTGAAATAAATCCTGTAGCTAAATATTCTAAAAGGCATTTACTTAATCTCAGGTCTTTAGAAAGAAGGAAAATATTTGTACCTTTGGCCTTCTGTGAGAATACACTGATTCCTTCAAAGGTTCTTCCAGGCCCAGGTCACAGTGAAAGTGCTCATCCAAGATACAGTTCTCCATTTGCCAAGACTGTACATCAGAGATTCTGATATCAAATCAAAGCTCCTGAATTTCTGGTTTGATTTCTGGGTTCCCAGAAGATCTGGTGATACTGCCTTAATAATATGTGCGTAACTAAAAGGCCAGTAGAGCTAGAAGTATTAGATTTTCTAGACCTCATCTTTTTCATTTGTGAAATGAAGGGTTGGATAGGCAATCTTTTAAGACTGTTTTTCAAATTATGGGCCTCAGTCCATTTTTGTCAGAATCAGCTGGGCTTTTTCCTAAGAATGAAGGGTCTCACATATATTGTCATCTCTGGAGTAGAGCTTGGGCATGTTTTAGACCGGGAGGTGATATTGATAAACTTAAAGTTTAAAAATTATTACCTTAAATTACTTTTTATGCTTAAGGTTTCTCCAACTCTAATTCTGCAGTTAGTGTTCTAAAGTGCCAATATAGGTAAGTTCTTGGTATCTGTATGGGAATGAAGTGAATATTAGAGGTAAGCCTCAAATTTCTCGCATCCCTGAGGCTTATCTCTGAAGTCCATCATTGACACAGTAATGGTTATTGCTGTTGTTTGGAATCTGCCGAGGTGATATTCTACATGTGGCTGTAACAGTAGAAGTCTTAGCACCACACAATCTAGTAATGTGATAGACTATACTCATCTTCCTGCTTCCATTTTTCTCTTACTGAAGTATTAGAGAGATGGAATGGTTACTGGGTAAGGAGTACCAAGAACGCTCCTGTTCTTATTTTCTTCTCTACTTGTAGTCGGGAAACTGGTTTGTAGGTTGCAGATTCAGGTTGATTCTGCTGGTTTTTCTTATCATTTTATCTTTTATTAAAGGACTTGATTATAAAGAAAATTAAAATTAAGTTCAGCAAGCCATACTGAGTATTTACCACAAATATTCTTGCCTTGGGTGTTTTGTGCTTGGATCTGAGCCTCAGAGGGTTAATAATCAAGCCAAAAATATGTATATGAAAACAAACAATTCCAAATTAGATATACTTTGTTAGGAAGACATGAACAAAGAGTTGTGGGGGAAGAGGGGAGAGAATAATATAATTTATTTGAAATAGGTTATGAGGAAGTTATACTTTATCTGGGTTTAGAAAGACATGTTGGAGTTCCAAAGGTGTGGGTGAGGAATGGTGATTACGCTGACTTCTCCATTTCTCATTCTGTGAATCTGACCTTATAAGTGTGCTATGAGGGCTCGTTAGCCTTTAATGGCTTTTAGTTATGCTCCAGGGTGTTTTAAACAGGCTCAGGAAGCATGAAATTAAACACTGACTCACACGCTCTACTACTGAAGTTGTAGGCAAATGTTTTGTTTATTTTGCTAGCACAAGGGGTTAAAGAACAGTGTGGTTAGGCAAGCATTAAAAAGGCTACAATGTGAACTGCTTAGTGTCTATCTTCTTATATTCAGTTTGCCTTATAAATTTTATCTTCAGGTTAACTTCTTACCTCTCAGGGCCATAAAATATCTGTGTTTTTCTGCCGTGAATTGTTAGTCAAAAATACTGTAACATTTCCTAAGTGTCAGCCTGGCTTATTATAAAACACTCTTGCATGATATACAAAAAATTATTAGTCATCATTTTATCCTATTCCGAATTTAGAACTAATTTATCTTGAATACCAGTACTTTCGACAATTTTATTCTACCAGAATTTATTCAAGGGGGAAGCGTTATTTGCGTTCTTGTGTTCTTAGGGAGGTTCTTGTGTTCTCAAAGTGGAGGGTAGTGAACAGCAGAAAACAAGGAAGAATTAGATTAAAAAATATACGAAACTGTTGAAAATGTGACTCACCTGATTGTTTGAAAGCTGGTTTCCAGATTCTGTTTAGGCTACCAAGATGAGGGCAGCTATTCCATTAATCTTCTTCAGTTTAACTGTGCTTAAAAAAAAAAATCATCTGTTTTCTGTAATGACAACCTTACTCTGCACTATCTGTGTTTCCTTCTTATACATACTTACAAAAATTCTTCTCACCTTGGGCATAGAGACTCTACAGCAAGTGAGCAGTCCTGCCAGTCCAGAAATCTGGTAACCCAGGCTGTGGGGATTTTCCACTTAATGAGACTTGCAAATTCTAATGATACATCAAGGGTTTAAATAAACTATTTTACCTCTGAATATTTGGGACTCAGAAAGATATTTCCTCAAATTCTGACTGTTATTAATGAAGTTGTCACTTTCTTTTTAATTGCCGGAGGTTACAGTCTTAACTGTTCTGTCAAACACCAAAAGAATGTTCATTTGGATATATCTTTTATAGAACTTAAGCAAAATATTTTCTCAGTTAATTCTGTGGTGTAAAGTAGGAGGTATAATAGTGGAGAGAGTTTGGTGTCTTGATACCTGAACACATCCACTCTATCATTTCTCTGAATGGCAAAATTGAAGGAGCTAGGTATAGTCTGTCATACTCAACTAGGCTTTGCGCTGCTCGTTGAAGTAGCATTTTTCTATGTATTGAAATATGGTATAGCAGCCTATTTTGTTCACTTACCTAACACAATACTAACTTACCAGTCTAATTTTATTTATTTTCTCTGAAATCTGCCTTTTTAGTTATGACCAAGTTAATCATAACTCAGGGAGGTTTATATTCCATTTACATATGGTCCACTCTTGCTGCTGTTTTCTTGTTTTCTCAAACCACTCAGAAATCTAGGTTGAAACCAACACAGCCCAGTGTAAGATTCATTAACTCTAGAGTTGACTTGATGTGGTCTGTGTAATCAGGTACAAATAGGCCTGCAGCTAAGAAAGCCAGGTTTTCTGGACTTTATTTGGAGGAAAGACATGGGTCTTTGGGGAAAGATATATGGGTCTTTTGCTTTTGAGTTTACCACAAAGCGAGAGGTGGAAAGGTCTGCAAAGATATGTTTCACAAGATAACTTAGATTCTCTTTATTTGTCCAAGATTTCTTTCCTTTCTTTTTTTTTTTTTGTTAATAACCAGTGAATCAAGTGTGGTGAGGCATTTTGATAAAAATCACTTTAAAGTTCTCTTATTTTGATGGACATAATATGAGTACACTAAAGTAGTAATTCCAATGCTAATTGCCAATAAGAATCAAATGGGAAGACTTAAAACAAAGCTACCCAAGGTCAGGGCTCATCTAGGCTACTTAAATTAGAATCTCTGGCCGTTGGGACAGATCTGTTTATTTACAGCTACTCCCAAGTGATTCTACTATATAGCCATGGTTGACAGCCATTGGTATAAGGAGACAGGCAGTCAGGAGTACATTTTCTTTCTTCCCTGAGTAGTCATTGGCTGAAAGTCACCATTCTAGATGACTTGTTCACTGTACTTGACATTTTTATTATTTCTGAATATAATACAATCACACCATTGAGTAATTACAATTTGTAAGAGGGCGTAAAAGGGAAATACCCACAATTTTGAAATAATCATTAGCATTTGCCACTTACCTACAAGTTATAGAAAGAATATGTGCTATTTATAACATTTCAAAGTAAAAAAGCCAGAATTGCCCACCAGTCCCTCTTATTTCTTTCTCCCCAGAGGAATAGAATTCTAGGGTCATGTGCTCCCTGACATTTCCCTTATGTTATATCTTACCTGAAAGTTACCAACGACACCAAACTGATCAAAGCTATGGGAAAAATCTAAAGCAGATGGGTTTGTTTATTGTCAGAGCAGAAGCCATGGCACGGCCACTGGTTAGCTAACAGGTATTATCACATGATTCCCAGATGATGCTATTTCTGTTCCCTCTGGAATAAGGTTTGCAGGCTGAGGTAAATAGAAGGAAGCCTCTTATCTCCTCCAGTCTTGACTGCTTAACCTTTTTAACTCTTTTTAACTCTTTTGACTCTGTAACTTTATTTTCTCTAAATGTTTTTTTATTTTCAGTGACTTTTTTTTCTTCCCTTTTGGTTTTGTGAAGGCCCCACTTGTAGTTCCTTACATGATTTTGTGCTGTTGAAGAAACTATGTGAGAGGGAAGTTTTTACCAGGCAGGTTTGGGTGGGTAACTTTGAATGTACGGATTGTTTGCATCTCCACTTCCATGCCTAGGGGAAAAAATATTTACAATGTGCCTCACAGTCAATTTTGGAGGCAAAATTGTCAGTTACATGTGAAAAAGAAACTTCTTTATCTAAGATTTTGCAACTTTTCAGAAAACAACCTCAGTTGCCTTATTACATTGAGTGTTTTTCTAGGAATGAAGCCAAGAGTGATGAAAGAAGGTGTCTCTACTCCATCACGAGTGACTCACAGGGATCAAGAATGGTATGATGCTGAAATTGCCAGAAAATTGCAAGAAGAAGAACTTTTGGTGAGCACATTATAAGGCAAAAGTTCAGGTGAATCACTAGGTTTTTGTGAGTTAAATCAATCATGAGATTTATGGCATTATAGTCCTCTGGGAAACTGATACCTTTTTTTATGAGTGAAAAAATCAAAACAATGGGAATAGAGTATCTAGTTTTACTTATTGAGTAAGCATTAGCAACAGAACTCTCTATCCCTATCTGTCCATTATTAAGTTCTGATAATTCTCTAAGAGCCTGCTATATAATTTGATTAAAATAGCCTCTGCTCTAGCTGGTGAAAGTATACCAACCGGTTATCAACTTCAGGGATATTAATCACAGCTAGTTTTAAATTCCCTTTTGTATAGACTTTTTAAATGGACAGCATGGATTTCAATTATTATTATTTTTTATTTTATATTTTATATACCACAGGCTACCCAGGTGGACATAAGAGCAGCTCAAGTAGCCCAAGATGAAGTAAGTTCATGTTAGTTATTGAGTCTAACTGATAGTTCTGGAAATATCCCACTAATTTTCTACTGACAACTCTGTAGTTAGTGATATTGACTGCATTTTGTTTAGGAAATTGCTCGACTTCTGATGGCTGAAGAAAAGAAAGCTTACAAGAAAGCCAAGGAGCGAGAGAAATCATCTTTGGATAAAAGAAAACATGACCCTGAGTGGAAGGTAGGGTGTATTATTTGTTTATTTTTTAATTAGAAATAAAGTTAGAAATGAAAAGGGGACTCTGTTTTTTTGTTTTGTTTTTTTTTCCTTTTTGTCTTTTTTCGTGTCCGGCAACGGACCGCAACCCTCAGTGTCGCGCCCGTACCAGACCGGGACCGGCAACGGGATCGCAACCCTCGGCGCTGCGCCCGCCCCTCGCTCAGCCAGTGAGCAGGAACCGGTCTGTATGTGGGATCTGAACCCTCAGCGGGAGCGCCGCCGTGCTCCCAAGCGGCGCACTGTAGCAGTGCGCCACCGGGCCGGCCCAAGGGGACTCTGTTTTTAAGGTAAGCTCTGCACATGTATTCAGGATATACAAATTATCTGTATTGCATATGTGAATCCCATTTGTAAGAGTTGTTTCGCTATGAAAAATTATTGAATTCTTGAAAGTAACCACGCAAAAAGTTACTGCTAATATTGAAGACCAACTGAGATGGAAGTGCTTCTGGTCATGAATAATCTTAGTTTTCATTTTACTTACATTGCAGGAGAATGGAGCATTTTCATATGCTTTCATATTTTTCATAGTGACCTTCTCTTCCTCTCTCTACTTTTTCTAAGTGCTTACATTATCCTTCATCCCTATCAGGTACTTGTTGCTCTTTCCTCTGACATAACTTGGTCTATGGCAAACAGATGTTTGCTTATCACCAGCAATCAGTTTATGTCACAGTGCAAAAACTATCTAGTATGAGCTTGGATTATTATCTTTCCCCTCATTAATCAGAAATAATTGACAAAATGGGCAGTGACTTCAGTTCATCCTACTGTAAAGTAATCTGATTGTTGTACTAGGGTACA